CTTTAACTTGATTTAATTATTTGTAAACGATTACTATTTTGTCGCATTTTACCTATTTGACATTTTCAGGTGCTCGCGCAGTGGCTCTGAACTTTTAACAGTGTTCGCAGGAGATGTTTGCCACCAATTGTGCACGATACGCACTTCACAAACGAAAAGGGCGGCATTCACTACTTATTAGGTATTGTTATAAGTGCAGTACTACTAAAAATTGGAAGATATTCTGAATTAAAGAGGGTGTATAACTCTACATTGAGTTAGTTTACGTAACAAGCTCTAATGTTTCCGAACCACTTGTTAAAACATGTGGCAGACAAACACGCATACGTCAGCAAGCAATCTGTTTCTTGAGGATTGGTAACGCCTAGGATACATATAATACATGTAGGTTAAAGCAAAGCGAGTGAGCCAGCAGAGAACCGCGAAGCTGTGTGTGAGTCGCCACTGAACGACATTGTTTTTCGTTTCGTTTCGAGCAGTGGAGACAAGAGGAGTGCAAAAAAGCAAAGGCCTCACTGTACTTGTTTCGCTGAACGAGCGAGACCGATTTCTTTAATTTAGCAATAGTCTTGTTAAATCGTCAACGCACTGGTCGATATTTGATTCGATAATTGACTTAATGATTCACAGTAGAGGTACATGAAATCGCTTTATTAAAAGAAACGCGGATGACACGTTTTTAGTACCGTTATCCCTCAAACGCCCAAAAATCACGCAAACGGTTGCGATGTCATGATCACTGAGCTCACTGAGATCGCGAGTCCCGGTGAAAAGAATGAAGAGCCTCATAGCACTGCTTGTGGTTTTAAAATGGGGAAACCAAAATGCCCAAATTTGTCAGAGATGTCCGCGATTTTTAGCCCAGAATTCGAATATGCCATTGAATCCTGTCGCTCAAAATTAAGAGTTTCAGTCACTTTTCGTTCGTATTTGCCTTTTAAGGTCATCATTTGTGGCTATTTTTATCCCCACAGCAGGTTAATGAAGCCTTCCTCTTTTTTAAAAACAACAACATTATAAGTCTTCAGCTTTAGGAATTTTAAAGTAGGACCCCGTTAGAATCAACCGATTTTATATTGAAGTAAAGTCGCACGTGCGTGACATAAATAAAGGCTCAAGTGTACCATGACTTCATGAAAATATGACTAGCGTTCATTCAAAACTTGTTCTAAGTCCCACAAATATAAACTAATAAACACCAAAAAACAATGATTGCAGTATCTCTGGCGAAATTGTCAGAAGATTTGGCGCACTGCCGCACGCGGACAGTTTTTCGGCCTGATTTGATTGGGCTTATTTTAGATTTTCAGAAAGTGTACTACTGACAATAACTCTTAATGTTAGCATTTACTCGTACGCCCTGTGAAAAGAAG